AGGTCTAGATTACAACAACGGTCAGTGAGTCTCATAATCTTATCCTTCCATGGTCCAGTTCAACACTTAACATAAGTGTTAGTGTAATCCTTCAGTCAAAGACCAACTGAATCAAGAATACACTACAGTCTTTTTCCAAGTGGGGTCTCACTGCCAGTCTAGACTGTGAACGAATAGTTTAGTCTTATAAGGAACCGATAGGTGATCTTTCTGTTCAAAACTCTTCGAACCACACTACCTCAATATAAGACATGGAGTATGATTGCATAAATAAATAAACTGCAAGCATATGTACTTTGACCGAAACATGATGGCCAGATCAAAATGGAATTAATAGAATCTGTAAATAGGAGCTTTTACAGCATACCTCTAACAGAAGGATGTTGCCAATTTCGTAAGAAAGTGTTTGGTCTGTCAGCAAGTTAAGGTCGAACATAAGAGCCCCTTAGGCCTTCTACGACCACTTGATATTCCAAAGTGGAAGTGGGAGGAGATTTCGATGGATTTTGTTACAGGGCTACCCAAGTCGTCCGAACACCACGATGCGATTTGGGTAGTAGTGGACAGATTGACGAAAGTCGCACATTTTCTACCTGTATCGATGACCATGTCAATGGAGAAGTTAGCCGAGATTTATACCCGTTGGATCGTTCGACTCCACGGAGTGCCCGCTCACATTGTGTCAGATCGAGATTCCAGATTCACCAGCAGATTCTGGAAGAGTTTACACGAAGCGATGGGCACGCAGTTACAGTTCAGTTCGGCTTACCATCCGGAGACAGATGCTCAGACAGAAAGAATTATTCAGATGCTCGAGGATATGCTCAGATTGTTGACGCTAGACAGGGGTGCTAAATGGGAGTCGATTTTATCATTAGTTGAGTTCGCCTATAACAACAGTTATCAGGCGTCGATTCGAATAGCTCCTTTCGAGGCACTATATGGGCGTAAATGCCGCTCGCCCCTTTATTGGGACGATGTTGGCGAACGTCGAGTACTTGGTCCGAAATTGATCGAGGAGACAGCTGAGCAAGTCGAGCTTATCAGACGGAGTCTTAGAACGACGCAGAGTCGGCAGAAATCATCGGCCGACAAGCATAGACGTGACATTCAGTTCAAAGTCGGAGAACGAGCTTTTCTCAGAGTTAGCCCTATTCGCGGAGTTATTCGATTTGGGAAGAGAGGGAAGTTACACCCTCGGTTTATAGGCCCGTTCGAAGTTCTCGAGCGAGTAGGCGAAGTCGCATATCGGTTAGCCTTACCTCCCGAGTTATCCAGTATTCATAATGTCTTTCATGTATCCATGTTGTGTAAATACGTGTGCGATCCCGATCATGTTATTCCGCATACCGATGTTGAGATCAATCCTGATTTGTCTTATGAGGAGCGACCGGTAGCCGTTTTGGACCGACAGGTTCGACGACTCCGGATGCATAATGTTCCCCTTATTCGCGTTCAGTGGGATCGCCACGGAGCTACTTGGGAGCAGGAGGCAGATATCCGCGCTCGTTTTCCCAATTTCCAGTTTTGATGTATACACTTTTCTCGTATCATGTATATATGTTCAGTTGTATATTTCCGGGGACGAAAATATTTTAAGGGGGGTAGATTGTAATAACCCAACTTTTTGTTAATAAAGTGATGTATTTTCTTTTATTGATTCCGTTCATTTTCAGCAAATAAGTTCTACTTTAAGTCGAAAAGTTTATTCGGTTAATTATTAACCGAGTCAAATTCGATAATTAACTTCCAAACTGTTTATTTTATAAACAGACATTATTAATCGGGATTAATTATTAAAAGTTAAGAATGTTCGGAACTAAGTTCATGATCGAAACTAAGGTTAAGTTATAAACGCACTCAAGTGCACTATGCACGCATGCATACATGCACAACGTACGCAGCCGTACGCGTAGCCACGCGCAGCGCGCATTGTCGCGCGCAGCGCATAGCGCGCGCGTCATTAGCCCGCTAAGCACGCACTTAGGCAATGCTTAGCAACTCAATCAAGCCAAACCCCATCCTAAGAATTACCGTGAGGGAAATTCAAAGGATAAATGTTGGGTGTGCAAGTGGGGTGATGAGTCACCTCCTTGCTTGCACACACGGCATGACACGGACGCACAAGTGATGACTAAGCCGTGCATGTCCACCACCTCAGCAATGACTAAGCAAAATTTGCCCAACACTTCAGCCGTGCTTTGGACACTTGTAATCAAAGCAAATAACGTCATCTTCCACCTCCTTTAACCCCATTTTACCCTCGGTTTTATCTCCATAAATAACCGAGAATGTGGGACATTCTCCCCATGCATTCTCATGTAATTTCAGAAGCACTAAATAGAGAGAGAACAGTAAGGAAAAATAGAAAAAAAAATTATATAATAATAGCTAAGGATTGCCGAAGCAAAAGGGAAGCAAGCTCACGCCAAACCGAGCACCGAACACACGCGCAAGTCTTCATGCGTTTGTCAGCCAAACTGAAGGGTATACACCCCTTTGCCCTCTTTTCGTGTAATTAAGTTCATGTTAACAAGGTCATGTCAAAATCAAATTGTTCGGTCCAAGTTTTTAGTCAAATTGTACTCGGAGGTGCTATTTAAGCCCTCCCGAGTGATTTCAAAATAGAACCGGCAAGTCCCGAACAATTTATGTATATTTTATCATTTCAAGTCATTTTATACTCAGTTATATAAGAGTTGCTGGAAAAAGTAGCCGGACGGCCGGTGAAATGCCGACCGTGATGTCTACCGCGCACAGCATGCGCGCAGGCGCGCTGATACGGAAGTGGTTGTCGAGGCCGAAGAGTGGTCGGGGATGACCGATGGTCGAACGGGCGAAAGGCGCGCATCGGGCGGTGATGCGCGGGAGCGGGTGGTCACCACGCGGTCAGCAATGGGTGCACGCGGGTGCATGGTAGGCGAGCAGGCCGCGGGCGAAGGAAGGTACGCGCGGGCAGCGAGCGGCGGGCGAACTGGGCGCGCGGGTGAAGGTCACGCGGGCGGAAGCCGAGACTGCAAAGGCGTAGGAGTACGGGTCAGCGGGACGTACGCGTGCGAGATGAACGAACGAGGTGATGGGCGCGCGATGGCGCGCGAGTGGGCGACAGGCGCGAGCGCAGGCC